ACTGGTACACAGAAGGGAAAGTGAAGAATGATTTTTCAAAAGGTAAGCAGCATTTTCTAAATACAGGCGGTCCCCGACTTACATACATCCGACTTACATATGACTCCTACTTACAAACGGAGGCTTTTACTGAACAGCAGGGGTAGTTGTAATGCTATAGCGCCCATGCCGACGAGGAGTGCTTGCCTTTTTTGGGTCTGGTTTGTAGTACTGCAAGTACATTACAGGAAGTTGGCTCTTGTTAGACGTGCAGAAGAGGGGTGCCCGTCTATTCTTCTGGGTCACTGTGAGGTGTTTACTGCTGTCTGTATCCTCGTTAGAAAGATTTAATCTCACTTGCTGTCCTTGAGACAACAGGAAGTGAGAGGAAATCTACCCCTAGGAAGGGGAATTCCCTACTGTAAGAGTTATCATAGGAAAACGGTGTCTCCACTGAAGCTTTATCACCAATCCTTGTTTCCACGACAACCCAACATTTAAATCCAATTGTCACAGGGACAGAAAGTGAGGTGAAATCTTCTGAACACACAGCAACACAAACATTACAGAGGGTTAACCCTTCCCTATGCTATCCAAAACTAAAAAAAATTTTGGCTGGAGTTACACTTAAAAAATGTACCTGTTCAAACTTACATACAAATTCAACTTAAAGGAGAACTATGAGGTGAGTGATTTTCACTCATCCTCATAGTTTGAGCCGGCGTGTGACAATGAGACTGTCACATGTCAGCTCAATAGATCGGGGAGTGAACACATACCGTCGCTCGCTCACTTCTCGTTCATGTCCCTGCAGAGAGCCGTGACCGCCACTCACGGCTCCCTGCAGGGATTCTCCCCGCTCCAATCCTCCAGCGCTGACTGGCGGAATGTACGGGGGAGGGGGCGGGTACAGCTGGCTCTGCCTCTAGATAGACAGAGCCAGCTGTCATGCAGCTGGGTGGATCTCGACAGTAATGTCAGGATCTGTCCTGGCTGCGGCGGTCTCAGTATACCGCGAGCTATTGCTCGCGATATACTGAGCTTTGGGTCACGGGAGGACGCTAGTTTATGTCCTACCGTGACCCTTAGGAGAACTATGGGGAAAAGCACTGACCCCATAGTTCTCCTTTAAGAACAAACCTACAGTCCCTATCTTGTTCTTAACCCGGGGACTGTCTGTATGTTTTTAAAGATGAGCTATATGACTGGGAACATGTGGCAAATATAAAGAAGTTGTTCTCTCAACGTGGCTGAAAAAGTGGATTTAGGTATGTTAAAAATGACATAACATTGGTTGATATACCATTTTATGGCATGCCTTAAGCACTCTTTAGCACAAAAGCGATATTGCAGCTTGATAAATAAGGGCCAAAGTCTCTAATCAACAGGTTTGTGTGTGCATTGCCTTCATGTACACCTAGGCCTCATTCACACTGGCATTGAAAAACATGCCCACAGGCTGAACGAGAAAAGATTCACTTTACTCTTCTTCACTGTATTTTCAGTCTGAGTAGATGCATTGATATATTGGAGCAGTAGAGTAGTTTTGTAGTTTTCTGACCTTACTCCGACTTCATTTGCTGCATGTTTGTTCTATTCAGTAATTCTCTAAGTTTTGAAGCCAGGTATAGCCAGGCAAAAAGGAGGTTTGCAATGGCAGCTTCCACTTTTCTCTGCTCATGGATTTCCTTTAATACGGACCAACAGCTTACAGAAGTTTTTGATTATTTGTTAGTGTTCTGTACTAGTGCTGAGTGGTCCCTATACAGTGGTACCTCGGTTCACGAACGCTTCTGTTCGCAAATGGGAAGTTTGGCAAAATTTTGCTTCCCTTTGCAAACTCCGCATCGGGTGACGAACACAACCGCAGCCATCTTCCCTGCTCTGACACATGGTTGTGGCTTCCTCTAGTCGAGCAAAATTGTAGAAATGTCACCAGAACACCAATCCTTTTAAGATAGCAAAAGCTTCATTTATTGAAGTTTTTTGTCATATGACCAAACTTCAATAAATTAAGCTTTTGCTATCTTAAAAGGTTTGGTGTGCTGGTGACATTTCTACAATTGCTGACATTCGCGGCGCCATCTGCGGTCACAGCAAGCACCCCCCACTACAAGGGCATATCGGTAAGGAGTGCGACAAGGATAGTACTTATTCCTCTAGTCGAGATCGCGGTCTGATCGGTTTGATTTGGTTCGCGACCAGAATCGTGGAACGAATTAAGTTCGTGAACCGAGGTACCACTGTATGTACAGCTGGACCAGTATCCAAAAATCTTTTTTGGAACATTAGTTCAATTTTCTAATAGTTATTGGGGTCAAATTGACGGTCAATTTCGACCATAGTGATGAGGAAAATCAAAGGAGCGGGATGGAAATTTTTTCTAGTAATGAATGAACTTCTAGCAGTAAATGTGATTTTAGTTCGGGAAACGCCATTTATTCCAAAATTGTAAAAATCAAACGAAATTTCAAACCGCATTCGTCAAGTCTGTGATGACATTATCGAATGTTCTGACAAGATTTTTCATATGAATTTCCGCACGAAAATCTGCCTGTGTATGGCCAGTTTAAGATCGCTAGACCTTTTATTGTCCTTATTGCAAATGTATGTTCTCTTCAATATGTTTTATATATGAAATGTGTATCCAAAGAATATTTCCTGACATCTACATCCTCTCTAGTTCTGACATTCCAGGAAACAGTCTTTAATTTTGTCTGGTTAAAGTGATTAGGTGACTTATCCCGCCTGACAGAACAAAGCGGTGACGGGTGCCTGCCTTTTGGCGGTCTGCAGTAACAGAGCCCTCTGCTCCAGCTCATGATTTCTAATGAAGGATCCCAAACTGCATTTTCCTTCCTTTAACAGAAAGGTCTATAAGTCATGTCATGTAATCAGCAGCCGGTGAATTATTAAGATTTGTCTGGTGAGTGAGGGAAAAGATAAAGCAGCAATGCCCTTCACAGATGAGAAATCTTGTCTCTGCCAGCATATGATCCATCTATCATTAGCCCTGGACTCTTATCTGTTTCAGACTGTGTGTTCTCTAATCCACTGAGCCGGTGTGGCTCCCGGTGATGACTGCTGGTGACACATCTATTACTTGTCTCAGATAGAAGATTGGTATAGTGCACCTCTGGGGAGACTTCCACCGGTGGCATTGTGTGTGCATATACTGTGTATATATATCATTCGTCTCATATATTACAGATGGCTTGTTAGTAATCTTGTAAGACTTGTGGCCTCTCACCTGTCCACTTTATTTTTATCTTTTGTCAATATTAATGAAAAAAAATCTATAGGGAAATATATTACCCCTTCCCCTAACTTGGAGTTCAATTGGAGTATAGTGGAGTCGTAGTGGAGAGGCAGGGCAATTGGCTTCATTTTTCCTATAGATTGTTTTTCTTGTCATTATAGCTCATTTGTTGTATTCTAGTTTGTGTGGATTCCTCCTAATCTTGCACTGACTGATTTGTCATTCCTACTTAAGGCCATAGGGCACTGTTCATTTATATAACTTTATGACCACTCTCAAGGCAGGTTTTTTTGTGTTTTATATTCTGAGACAAACTCCATCCAGAATTGATATTTCAATCATAGCCAGGCACCATCAAGTTGAATCATCTGCTATTTCCCTTTTCTCCTTGGGGACTCCCAACAACTAGAACTCATTTTGAGATTGGGATACCATATAATGGACAGTTGGGCAATCCTGCAAATATCTCATTAATACAAAGGGTCAACTGTCAACTGGACAGTGTTGGTTACAAATATATCAGTCTAGGAATTCACCTTTAGAGCTGAGACGCACTATCTGCGTTCAGGCTGTGCTGAAATAAATGTGCAAATTGCCTTGTCATAGAAGGGCTCGGTTAACACCACTGCGTTCCGTAGGTGTGCCCTTAAACGTACGGCAAGTATGGTGAACCCATAGAATTGAGTGGAATGTCATTTGTGAAATTTCAATAAGTTCTACAAAAAAAGAAAGGAAACGGTGTGTTGCGGCTCGACCGAGTGCATCGGCCCTGTTCGTGGACATGCACACCAGCACCCATGCGGTTGAGCGCAGCGGCTGGTGTAAATGTACCCTTAGTCCCCGTTCACACCTAATCGTTTTTTAGCAGTTGAAAACGTGCTTCAAAACAATTTTTGTGTGCGCTTTTTCCCATTTTTACGCATGGTTGTCTATTGGCTGCAATGTCTCTCAATCTGCCAGTTAAAACGTCTTCATGTGCATGCGTCTAATGTGTACAAAACTGTGCAAAAACCTCTAGACAAAAATGCGTGCTAATATATGTAGAAAAAGGATGACGCCTAGGTGTGAACGGGGACTTAGCCCTGATTCACACCAAAAATCCCATGCTTTTAAATTGTGCCCTTTGACATATGAGCGCTCGGATGTCTGTAGCTTAACAAGGTACAGGAGCTACTTTTTGAAGCAGAATGGGCATTTCTGGCCCCATAGACGTTAATGGGAGCGCCTAAAACCGAGCGTTTTTCAACGCTACACAGCCATCTCCTTTTCCTTGAACCTAGCTTTCCATTGGCTAAAACAAAAATGCTCAAGCCTGAATATATGTCTGTATAAAGATGCAAAAACATACAAATAAAAATGCTCCAAAATCACGCAACTGCTCATGGTGAGGTGTGAATGCAGTCTAAAAGGGACCAACATGTTTTTATTTTTATTTATTTTTTTACTTTTTGATATGAAATACTGTTGTGGTTTGGCAGTTTTACGTATTGGAGACAGTGTTGCAGATTTATGTGCACATACAAATGATCTCAATGTTTTCTCAATCCTTTGTATTCATTTTTTCTTTTTTTGGTTGGGGTTTAGGCCACTTACTGTAAATAGTACATATGAAAAGACGGGCTTCCTGTGTTTGTCCGTCACTACAGTGTACTTCCATGTTCTGTAAATACCTCAATGGAAAGCTATTTTACATTGTTTGCTGTTTGTCCGCGGTGCGATGTCAGTGGAGTCACTAAGGACTGTGACTTTGTAGATTTCCATATAGACAAATGAGCTTGATTTAGAAATAGGGGAATGCTGGATGGCATTATTTTCATCAGCCTAATCCTGCTTTCAGTCATTTGCATTGTGGGTTCTTCATGTTATCAAATATGTGAATGCACACTTGTTACTATTCGTATGTGATCTTTGTGTTCTAGTATATGAATGGAGGGATGCTTTGTTCTTTGTAGTTTATTAATAGTTTTCCTGTTCACTGAGATGTAAAGCTTCAGTCTATTGCAAGCTTCATTTTCTACTCCTTGTTTCCAGTCCTACAATTCAAATTAATTCTATTTATTCGAAGAAAACTTGCAAATTTGCAGCCCTTGTGGTTTTTTTTATTTTTTTATTCTGATCTTCTCTGTTATTTCAGTTTGCAAAGTGCTAGTTTGCCCAATAAAGTCACAACTGTTTTTTATGCTGAATCCAGTGGTCTGTCTGTCATGGCACTTCCTAATGGTGAAATATTGCAAGATTCTATTCTAAGGAGACTTACGTTTTTTTGGGGTGGTTTTTTGAGGAAATTGGTGAGCACAGGATTGCAGTACTGTCACTTCCCTATGTTAATAAATTATCCCCTTGTTATGCAGAGCAGATTTCCTTTTGGATAGTATTGACACATCATTTGTTTTAGATGAAGTTGAAGTCCTAGAATTACTTGCATATAACACACGTACCCAAATAAATGCATAGCTTCTGTCCACGCTTCGGTTTTCCAGCAGTCAGCAAGGGAAAGTGCCAGCCATTTACCAGCAGCTCATAGCGTCGCTCAGCCACTCTTGTGCTATCTACAACTGTGTCCACAACTGATCAATGGGTGAAATGTTTCCAAGTCAGGCTTTGCAATCAGAAGATTGTAGATACGTTAAAGAAGAACTATGAGGTGAGTGATTTACACTCAACTTCATAGTAAGACCCGACGTGTGACATTGAAACTGTAGCACGTTGACTCTATAGAACGGGAAGTAAGCAAACACATACCACCGATCGCTGACTTCCTGATCATCTCCCTGCAGAGAGCGGTGACTGTCAGTTATCACTCCACGCAGGGATTCCCACCCCTCTCTGATTCTCCAGCGCTGACTGGAGGAACGGACAAGGGAGGGGGTGGGCACTTCTGGCTCTGCCTCTAGATAGGTAGAGCCCACTGTCAATCAGCCAGCTGGATGGATCTCGACAGTACTGTCAGGATCCACCCCAGCTGCAGTACTCTCAGCATATAGTGGGCAATAGCTCTCTATATACTGAGCTTTGGGTCACGGGAGGACGTTCGTATCTGTCCTCCCATGACCCTAAAGAGAACTATGGGGGGGAAAAAGGTTACCCCATAGTTCTCTTAAGTTAAAGCAATAGACCTTCCAGTGTGTGAGCTTAGAAAGACTTGTCGTCTGAGCTGAGTGTATGTACGTGGGTAGGTAAATAATCTGACAGCTTGTCACGAACCTGGGCAATTCAAACTGCAAGTCAAGAATTGCATATATGCTCTAGTAATCACATTTTAGATGCACAGCCTGCAGACAGAATTTGACCAGGCTACCTGGTTTATGCAGCGGATACAATATATAGTCTCCATCTGCACCTCAACTTCTGTGCTTGCAGACTTCCTGTTTTTCCCTTCCTCTGGTGGGTCCTACCCATCCCCCTCACTTGCACGTACACTTGTCCTATTTGGACATCACTATTTTGTAAGTCACCGAGCTGGAACAAGTATGCAATCTGATCTGAACACATGGTAAGACAGCCAGGCAATTAGTATTTTCTGAAGGACAGCCAAACAATGGCAGCATATAAACATATCCTCTATGCATGATTTAGAAGTGGGGTCTTTGGCTAGGCAAGCCTTATGTTAATTAGAAGCAGCACAAGGACAAACAAAGGTTTGTAGTTTCATGTCAAGAAAGACCTGTGATATAGGTTTCTCCTCCTGTAATCTGGCTACAGGGAGCTCTTTTTTGGCTTCTGTTTCCTAGATTAATATTGCCTGCGGGAAAGTTTATTTGTAGAGCCAGTAATCTCACGTGAAGGTGTAATCAATGTATGCTTGCGGTTTGGGATTATCTGATGCCCTTAGATTACAAAATGTGTTACCTTGCCATCCGTTGACACTTGACATGGCATGGAGACAGATTCCGAAGAACAGCTTGCAGACATGCTGACCTTGAGAGAGAGAGATACGCTTGCCTACTGCATATGAAATAGCCTAATACACTATGAATAAATACACATTTATTACTTCTACTGGGCTTGGCCATGTTATTGTTGCCTATGCTGGCAGTTCAAACCTTAGACTTTTAATGAGGTTGGATTTTCAGAGCCATTCTCTGTTGTAAGGATGAGATAAACTAGCATTGTGGGTATCTGCTTACTTACAGAAGTAAATAGCTCTTGCATCTTACAACCATTATGTAATCATCAGAGCTAAAGCTAGGTATAAAGTCCTAGTATTTGTATGTTGGGTTAAGCACAATTTGCAGGTGTCGTTTTATTACAGAAAAGATGACATTTTATTTTTAAAGTTCCGATTTGTGAGTTATTGCTCAAAGAATCTTTCTAGAATTTTTGAAGTTTTTCTGTTTCCTTTTAATCTCAAAATGCTCACAGATCATTCACAAATCTCTCAACTAATCTAAAGATGTGCAGAATTTATTGAAGCCATCATGCATTTTGAGAGCAGGGTCCACATATCTGGAAGAGGATTCCTAATAAATTTTGCCAGCAGTGATCACCCAGGTAACTGACCATCTTACTGCATCTTTACACCTGAAATGGAGAGTGCAGTTGTAAAGCTGCACATACTCTGTACATTAATTTCACCTGATATGTCTGCTTACAGTTGGATTATAAATTAATTGTGTGTCTAAGTGCCCATAGACATGAGGTCACAGTTGCCTGGTTTGACTGTTTTCAGACAGATCTGGTGGTTCTTTTCATGTGAGATAAGTGGCACCAGCAATGTCATCTCATCCTCTCTCCATTTACATTAGCAAGCACTTTTCTCAAATCTCATGAAAATGCCAAGTATCTGCACTGGTACTCGAAAAGTATCTGTGCAACCATAATATATATTTATATTGTATACACACATACATTTTATTTTTTTTAATCCCAGGGTTAAATGGTGTCTTTGTCTATATAGTATAGTGCTTCATTTTCCTCCCTGTAATAATAAGTGATCCAAGAGTGCATATTTATTGCAAGATTTGTTAGTAAGAAACCTGCCTCTGCATTTTAGACCATCATACAAACGTTCATATTCAATAATGCCTTCAGAGACTTGATGACTGTCATTCAGTATTGTGTTTGGTTTTAACATCTGATTTTGGAAAGAATAGAGTTTCCGGAACAAAAGTCACATTCACTGTTTTTCTTGAACAAACAAAATTATTTCTTTCTTTAATTTTGGTTTTCATCATTGCAGTTAAAAGAGAGCTATGGGGTAAGTGTTTTTCCCCCATAGTTCTCTTAAGGGTCACGGGAGGACATATACCTCATGTGCCGGGACATTACTGTCTGGATCCACCCAGCTGCGTGAGTGACAGCGGCTCTGCCTATTTAGAGGCAGAGCCAGCTGTGACCGCCCCCTCCCCCATCCATTCCACCAGTCAGCACTAGAGGATCGGAGCAGGGAGGGGGAGAAACCCTGGAGGGAGCCGTGAATGACAGTCACAGCTCTCTGCAGGGAGATGATCGAGGTGTGAGCGAGCGACGGTATGTGTTCACACACTTCCCGATCTCTTGAGCCGACGTATGACAGTTTCAGTGTCGCACATCAGCTCGAACTATGAGGATGAGTGATTTTCACTCACCTCATAGATCTCCTTTTAACAATCATCAGTTTGACCCTATTAACCATTAGAAAATTGAACAAACATTCTGAAAACTATTTTTTTTTAACAAAACTCTACTGGTGTATGGCCAGCTTTAGTGAGAGATTTCCCTCTCTTATTGTAAATGTGACAATAGTTATACCAGTCAGGAATTCAGGGAATAAACATGTAACTGCAATATAGACAGGATTTATTTTTGGGACAGAAAGTAGGGATTGGCTAAGATCCCATGAGCTTTTAATTGCTGCCTGCCTCCCTGTTGCAGATTTTCCTTCACTTCCTGTCTGTTAAAACTGGTGTCACTGTAATAGTAAGGTCTTACTCATACCAAGTCTGCTGAGCTGCATTTTTTCTGTACACCATTGCAGGTGTGGTGTGAACAGGGCACATACAAGCTTGGGTATAAAAAGCAACATACACTGTGGGAGTTTGGTGACTGAGCTGTGAAAAATAATACAAGGTGGGACTTTTTCTTTAACACCATACATGTGGGTGGTGTGCAGAAAAACACAGCTCAAATGGTGTGAACGAGCCCTTCCTAAGATACAAATCTATCTAACAAAGCCCAAACAGAGCAGTACAACAATGACACAAGTTCTATTCCTTCCCTACTCTATCCAATACTAAAAATAGAAAATATAAATGTTTGACTGGACACTTTAAATGACAGGAAATGCTCCAGAGAGAGCTTGAGACTCTTCCTTCTATTTCAGTAGGAAATGGTAAAACGTCTTGGTGCTATTGGACAAAGTCAGGAAGTCCATTGGGAGCCTCGCGACAGAGGTACTCAAAGGACTTAAACTGGCCATACACATTACAATTATCTTCAGATTTTCTATGGTCAGATGGAAAAGGTGCAACAGATTCCTCTATCTACACTTAACTGTGTGGATGGAGTAATCTCCACCTGGCCCAATCTGTTGCACTTTTTCCATCTGACCATAGAAAATATACATATAATTGTAAGGTGCATGGGCACCTTTAAGCATCCAGTGGGCACTCTCACCTGAATGCATAGATTTGCTTGAATACAAAATGTTATGAAGGGTGTAATTCGGGGGTGATAATGAGGTAGCAGTAAAGGAGATAACCGCCAACCCCATAGGAAAGCCAATATAAAATAACGCCACTACCCTTCTCAGTCTTGAGTTGCTATGAGGAACCATGAACTCTTGGTCCACACTGGATTCCAAGTCCAAATAAACGCCTGCATGTACAATACACTACTCGCGGCAGTCCCTCCACATTAATATATTGAATACAAGAGTAAGATCTTAATTCCCTTTCTCAACTGCTTTCCAATACGAAAGGAAATCTGCTGTCCTTGAGTGGTGTCTGTCTGTGTGGAGAGATCTCACAGCGTTCTCCTGGCTGGATCAATCTGTCAGTTTCAGCTATGTGGACCAAGTGGTCAAAGTTTAAGCAAAATAGGACTTTCAGAGTGTGTTGTTACACACACACACACACACACACAAAACGTGGTCCCTCATAGCAACAACCTGTGGACCTTGAGATCACTGGGACGCTTTGTGTTGTGTGACTGCAGACAGAGAGGGGTAGTGATGTTGTGTTATTATCGCTTAGACTGGCCATTTTTATATAGAAATGTGTTCATACGTTAATAGTGTTATAGTGTTAATCTTGCTTGGTTATGTATTTTCTAACTTTTAATTTGTTACAAATATTACTTTATTTACTAACAGATTTGATCAGCTGCCTGGCACGTTCCAGCCATTACAAAGAGACAGAGATCAGGTAAGAATTATATTCCTTACTTTGTACTTTTTTACAGTTCAGTAAGATTTGCAAAACATATAGGAATTGTTTTCTCCTCGCGGCAGTATTGAGCTTAGCCTATGCAGCATATGCATGTTGTTTGCATAAATGTATGCTTTGTGAATTACTGAACTGTATTGGTGACTGTTCCCACTGGGTCGCGCAGGGACGTTTATTATGTTTTTCATATGAACACAGTTGTATAGCTCCTCATTTTATTTTATTTTTGTTTAGATACATGTCTATATTTCTTTTTTGGTTTCAGTAATTTTTATTAAAGCTTTTATGAAACAATTAACAAAAGTATAGTGAGCCACGTGTTTCTAAACGCATATATATTAAGTGACTGGAAATGCAACCATTTGCGATACATCGTTTGTTGTGGGAGCTTGTCTAGAAAGAAACCAATATATGTGTATGGGGACTGAAGGTAGACAGAATGCCTGGTAATGCAAAACTGAATAGGGGAATGGGGAGGGGGATTTCTCCAGCTCTGCCCATCTAGGAGCCATTCCTTGACCAGGAGGTGCGTGGTTCACAATATAAACTCTGTGGCTGTTTACTGAGCATAGATAGAGGTAGATAAAACAGGGCAACTAAAGAGAACAGGGGAAAAAGGTAGGTAGGGAAAGAGGAAAGAAAAAAAGGATGTCTCTGGGGTCTCCCAAGTGTACCGTTCCTGGCTGAGGGGTAATATGTCTATATTTGTTCTTCATTAAATACTGTGTAATGTTAGCAGTTTGAGGAACACGCAATGTCGTTGTATTGTTGTATTGCTTTTCATTTAAAATGCATGTGACTGGACTTTTTTCTATTTGTAGCAGGTACTGTCCAGCTGGATGCAGAGATGTTTCGGGGGATATATCCGGGGATATAAAAGAAGGCTATAGAGATGTAAGTGCTAACACCTTGCATTCATCCTATGAATCATATTTAAGATTAAGTGGCTTAGGGGTGTACAAGTCTCAAAAAATATGGCATAGCACTATCTTTCTGGGTGCCCTACAAACATCTGTTGATGTTTGCACTGATCTGTCTGTTGCACTAATCCAGTTGCTTTAGTACCTTCCATGTTATTGCCTTGGCACAGGTATGCAGACTGAATAGATAAACGGCAAGCAAAGAGTATTACCAATAAAGGACTAAGCGTCATTTTATGAAAGCACAGCCTTACAAATTAGGTGAGTTACAAAAATGGTGGGGAAAGTTTCAAAGACTGTGGGGGGACGTTATCAAAACTTCTGTCTGGAGCAGACAGAATCTGTGTGTCTGCTTCATCAGCTTTACCAGAATCTGCCTGAAGTGTCTGCTAAGGCCCGCATTGCTCTATAGTAAGTCCAGCTGCAACTGCTGATTTGTTTTGAAGATAATGTATCCAAGGCTATAATCCTCATCCTTGTTTCACTGTTTAGTCAATGATCCACAACAAGTATGTGCCTAAGAGGTATCCCAATACTTCACTGATTGCATGCTTGTTCAGGTTAGTGACTTGCTAAGTTGTGAAGCAAGGATGAGGATGGTGGCTGTAGAAAATAAAGTCAGCAGTGGCAGTTCTTTGTCAGATCAGAAACAAGTTCCCTTTTAAGTGCTTTTCATACCAAAGCCTGTCACTTTTATAGGTGGAGAAACACGTTTGTGGATACATACAGCCATTCAGCGTCTGACCCAGTCAGTCATTGAATGCACCATGCATAGTTAATGTTTAAGCCGCCATATCTTATACAATGAGCTATTTAATTCTGTGCATTTCTAAGAACTGGGAAACACTACCTTTTCATAACGTAAACACTATTGCAAACCTAATGTGTTCTGATAAATGTATGTGGTTAATACTTGTAATAGTTTCAGGATATTAGATTCCTTTTCTTAGTTTTTTTACTTTACATGCCTTTTAATATTTTTCTTTACATTTACTTGCACACCCAGGTGTACGGCCTTGGGACAAACCATAAAATTGCCAGGGGAGCGTGTAAAAGTTAACATTTTATGCACATGGCTTAAAAATCAGTTTGTCCAATCCCTTGTCACTGTCACTTTTGATGGACAGCTTGGTTTGCAAGTAGAACAAAAATAATACATTGTCTTATTTATAATATTATTGAAAAGAATGTAAAGTAGAAAATAAAAAAATATGAATAATATATTTACATGTATTTCATACAGTTATCAGAATATCATATTGTTATGCATAACTGAACTCCAAGCACTGTGTGTGTGTGTGTGTATGTGTGTGTATATATCTATAGCTATAGATCTATCTATATAGATATAGCTATATAGATAGATAGATCTATAGATAACTATATATGTATATAGATATTCCTCTACAGCCTCAAAGGATAAAACAAAATACCTTTGCAAACCCAGATAGTACCGTGTAATATAAATTGAAATCGTTGCTGAGCTGCATATTTCCTGTGCAAAGAGCAAAGTGGTGAAAGTGACCCAGCAGGTCCTTCGCCTGCAGGCTTCCTTCAGAAAACTGCAGGTGGAGGCAGTGGATACAAGACCAGTCACCTTGCTCAAGGAGCTACACATGCTGATTGAATCACTTACAGTGGATGCTATTCTTTGATGTTTAAAAGTTTATTTTCCTGCAGAATCAGCGTATCCACTAAGCACTGGCTCTGATATCCTGTTATAGGGTGGGTCCTTTCCCTTGCAGGGTTCTATGGAGCACTCTTGTGTGAGTAGTAAGCTGTGTGTCTCCACAAACACACAGGCACAGTAAGGCAAGCGAGTCCTCTTCTCCTCTCCTGCTTTCTCCTTCCTTCTCTCTTCTCCAAGCTAGTAGATGGACAGTTGCTGGAGAATGTGCTGTCCCATGTAATCTTATACTGGATAGGAAGCTCAGGAAAGCCGAGCAGAGAGAGCTGGAGCCAGCTGTTTGGAAGCATGGTGGCTGTAAGTGTTTGGGCATACATATAATATTGTATATTTTTTAGATCTGGATTCATTATTGAAAAGTGTTTGAGTCTTTCATTCTAGTTTAAACCACCATTTATAGTTCAGACTCTAGAGCACTCAGTTTAACATAGTGTAGACATTTTTGCATTAAGACAAATTAGTGATTTCATGGTCACGCATTGCTTTAGATTATTCTGTCAAGGTCAGGTACAGATCATGACTCGGGTGAAACACAAGTCTCTAGACTCTCATTCCTTAAAATGCTGTAAGGTCCACACCTAATGTTGTTGCAGCCAACCCCAACCACATGAAGGCAGCTGAGATTAGTGACCTCTAAGATCTTGGCTCTCTTTCCTACCCAGACTGCTTGGTGTGTCCCATCGTCGTTTGAAGAGCCTTAGCTGACTCAGGAAACAAAGAGAGAAGCCACACCTGACAATTATAAATGATGATGGTTAGAAGACTGACATGAGGGTGTTAGGTGCCCTCCTCTCTCTGTACATTAATTGATCTACCTGCTTTCTCAGCAACTGATGGCTGAGTTTATGGAGGTCTCTGAAGTTGTAGCTGCAAAGATTGTTAGATGGCTGTAAAGGTGGCCATACACTTTACAACCATCGCAAGACCTTAGTCTTGCGATGGTTGTAAAGTAATTAAAAAAACGTACGATATGGCCATCTTGGACAGACAGATCGTACTCGCGATCATCGCAAGCCCGCCCCCCTGAGGGGCGGGCTTGCGATGACCGCAATGCTGAACGTGCAGTGTGCGCGTGCGCACACCGGCCCGTTCCGCATTTGTCTCCCGAGCATGCCACAAACCAGCCGAAAATTTGAGGCTGGTTTTCGAACATGCTCCTTAGACAAAAGACGTGCAACCGTACAGTAAAAACGGTCACACGCCTGCCATACACTTTGCGATTATCATACGATCGCGGGATTTCCAGCGATTATTGTGCGATAATCGCACAGTGTATGGGGCCACCTTAAGACAGGCATTAATCTCTCTTTTATAATGCGTGGGTTCTCACATTTACCAATTTCATTACTCCTGGCAACTAATGAGATTTCATGTTAAATGATAAGTTGACCTTCGTTCATCTGGCCTTGCTCTAGGTAGATGCAGGAATATGGGCAGCTCTACCTATATCGACACTGTATGAGGTGATTTAAAGCAGTTTGATGTCCAGCTGTCCTTCCCCATCTTCACACTGCTCGATTCTCGTACGATCGCGGGATTTCGCCCGATTCTCGTACGAGAATCGAGCAGTGTATGGGCACCTTTAACCTCCGTACGAGCTCTGCCTGGGAGAGAATGTGCAGAAGTCTGAGCTTTGCAGCTGTGATCGAGTGATCACAATTGCAATGCTTTCCAGGCTTGAATACAAATATTAAAGAAATGCAAATTTTTTTAAATATATTATTAATTATGCATTTCTTTAATTTTTGCAAAAGGTGAAGTTATCCTTTAAATCTGATTAATAGATTTGGGTCACTGACCTTTTTATCAAATAGGCCCGTATTAGTACTTGTTGTGTTTCTGATATACCACTGGGGCAATTATGTGCTATCATGGATAGGTATCTATATGTGGAGAAAACTTTATATGCACAACTAACGCTGTGCTTTCAGTAGAAACACTTGGATTTGGTGTTGTGACACGAACAATGTCATTCTAACTGGCGTGACAAAGGAATACATAGCAGGACTGGTAGGATTAGAAAATATTTATTGGCTTTTCAACAAAAATGTGTGCTTACCTTAATAGCTCTGCATGATGGGTAAACACAGAGTGTATAGACTGCATGACTTTGGAGCTGCTCACTGCTGCCCTTCGTGTGACTGATTGCTTGCTTTAGTAGGGGTAGGCAACCTTGGCAGTCCAGTTGTGGTTTAACTACAAATCCCATCATTCATCTACCTCTGGAAGTCATACCTGTGGCGGTCAGTCTTGCAATGCATCATGGGATTTGTAGTTTCACCACAGCTGGAGTGCCAAGGTTGCCTAACCCTGTGTTATAGACTGTGCAACCTGTTTATTCTCTTGCCACCATTGGAAAGCAAGGATGGCACAATGGAAGTCCAGTGATTGGCAGATGTAGAGATTCGAGTAAACAGTTAGTAAAGACCAAAGCATACACACATCTGACCACAAACTCTTTCGATTGCTGTACTATTCTTGTGTTCATTGAGTACAGATGCTGCAGTTTGTTGTTGCTATAGTTCATCTGCTTAAATTATATTCCGTATGCTCACTAATTAGGAAGAGTTGCTCATAAACTGTTTTATGATATTGTTGTACAATCACTTCTAATAAAATGAGAACGCTTACTTAAAGGGACCCAGTTACTTGAAAAAAATCCTAAACTCATTCTTCTGCAAAAGAGGAGCTTTTATGTTCCCCTCTCCAGTGGCCCATGTCTCCCACAATCAGTGTCTTTGGCATTCCAAACTTTTGGGAGTGTTGAATGTCCATGTTCCCTTCTTTGCACTGTGGTTCCTTCCTCCACCCCCTATATCACTCCAAGACTCAGCAGTTGCACCTCACTGATTTAATTTATGGCATTTTATATTTTGCCTAGACAGGCTTCCAATATATATTTGGAGGGCTGGGCATCCTTGCTTTTCTGTGCTAATGAGACCCTGTGCCAATCTGCACTTGTAGGTAACTTACCTGAACTGCCCCGTGGAAGAATGTGTCTATATGAGCCAACCAATAAAATGACGCTTGGGTAAAAAGGAAACTATTATGGTTCATGGGAAATGTTTAAAGTCTTTTACTATATGGATACAATGTTTGTCTTAAAAATATTCATTTAATAGATGACAAAGAATGTCCAAAGCATTATGGGTTAGGTTAAGAGAGAGCACAACAGAGGTAGCTCCCTTTCATTTATTGCTATCTGTTTGTACTGAGCTGTCTGATGAGGAATGAGTCATTGGTCCTTCATTAGGTCCAGTGCTAATTTTGCTTTTATCTATCTAACTACAGTAGTAGGTGGAGAGAGCAATGAAAGTCTAGACCTGCTGGCTGGAAAAAGGACTCCCATCTATTTTTTCTGTATTTTTTTTAGTCCTGTTCATAACAAACAAACAAAAAAAAATGTATATATATATACACTCTATATGTAGTTGATAAATGCAAAGATAAAAAAACCGAAAACTAATACTTAGAGGCACACATAGGACTTAGTAGGCATTGAGGGTTAGTTCACACCAAGCGCGTTCCAGGAGCAGAGCAGATCTGTTACAGACCGGATCAAAACTGCGTCCAGCGGTATTTTGAGCTCTAGTTCACACCGCAGCGTTCAGTTCCAGAGCATGTAAAAAAACTGCAGCAAGCCTTATTTTACCTGCTCTGGAGCGCATGCAAACGCACTGGAACGCACTGAAAGCCCTTTTTTTTTTTTTATAATAAATTTTTTTTTTCTTTTACAAAAACGGCCCTGAACGCGGCAAAACACACTGCACTGCATGTGCAGAAACTCATGCAGATCTGGTCTGCATTTGGTGTGAACAAGCCCTTAAGGATAAATATTGCTCTAAAGAATAAAAAAGTAAAAACTCAAGTGTGTCCTTGTCATCTGTTTCATTATGTCTGTGTCATTAGAATAGTCAAAAGACAGCTAGACAGTCATTTTTAACAAATCCTAGTCTTCCTCACAGTGGTTTAAAGGGCCCTTTCTCTGCAATGTTGCAGTTGTTGCTATGTTTAGTATCGAAGTTTAGAGGAGGTCTTCTTGGTTCCTTTATCTTGTCTCATACTTTCTCAAATTCGATCTGTAATTTTTATTTTCCTATAATATATCCCAGTTTGGGAAGGTAAAGCTTCATTGCCCACACAAGGATTCCTCTTTTCTTTTTCTTCTGTGTTATTTTCAATGTTAAGCTTTTGCATACTTTCTGTCATGTCTTGTCTATGATTAGTACTCTGACCTCAGGCATAAATTCCATCTTCAACAGATTTGCCTTCCTTTTAACCTGTAGAAAACCTGACTGCACTACACTATTCCTTGTTTGTTTTCCATATCTCTTACTCTCAAGGTTCACATACCATGAGTCACTGTTCCTCTGCTGTTTTACTTTTCAATGCTTTTTCAGGAAAGTATGTGGGCGAGCAATGAGCATATATGTGTTAAACATGCCGTTAACTAAAAAAAAGCCAGTGTAGTTTCTCCACATTCTCTGTTTTTTTAGAACTCCATAGGTGAATTCTTTGTACTATATTTGAGTATCTGATCCCCTGTCACGACTTTAGCAATCCTTCAAAAACAACATACCTAAACAATCTTCAGTTTATACTCCGGAAGCTAAATTACCACACTTCATACTTGTGGATGAATGTGAACAGGCTGTGCAATATGATGGTTGTAAAGTAATTAAAAAAACGTACGATCTGCCCATCTTGGACAGGCAGATCTTACTTGCGATGACCGCAATGCTGAACGGGCAGTGTGTGCGTGCGCACACCGGCTCGTTCGGCATTTGTCTCCCGAGCACCGTTCAAACAAGCCGAAAATCGTAAGGATTTCGGCTGGTTTTCTAGCATGCTCCTTAGACAAAAGACGTGCGACCGTACAGTAGAAACAGTCGCATGTCTTCATTCACACTGCACGATTCTCGTACGATCGCAGGTGTATGGGCCCTTTACACACTGCAGAGGGAGTTGACTTTAGACTCCATTTGTTAATACTGGCTGGGGAGTCAGGTAGTCAAGAACTCTGGCAGGGCTATCTCGTTGTGTCCCAAAGAGATTGTTGCTGAGAGGTGCCTTGTTTCTTCACTGCCGCAGAGTCTTTGCATACTTTATACTGGCCAATGCATGGGGAGTTAAATGGATGGTGTTATCAAAGTGTTATACTAATTTTAGATACGTTGGTATGCCTTTGATTTCTGCAGTAGTTTTATCAGACTTTCCTCTTTCCAGAATACCGATGGTTAATCATCTGCCACCTATACAGAAAATAGCCTCTCTGTCATTCAAGTATTTTTATTTGAAAAACCATTTTTACATGAAAATATCCACTGTTGATCGTAAAGCAATATGATTGGGTTAAGAGGGCAATTGTGCACACTCGGGGAAGCCACTGACCCTTGCAGCAAACGTTTTTGTACAAAACAACAAAACTGTTCGCTGGGTTGGGTTTAGAACCCCATTATTTGTCATTCTTTAAAGACGAACTCTGGGCAAAGATTTTATTAACCCTTGCAGTGGGGCTACCCCCGCGCTGCAAGGGTTAACTGCTTGTTTTGGTTTACGGGGGAAAATAAAAAAGTTATATTCATCCAAGCTGCTGGCTTGCTCTTAGACCGCTCCTTGCAGCCTTGCTTTCCCTTCACTGCATTGGTCTAAGGTATGTGATTCATCACATTTTATACACTTTGTATAGGATGTGATGACACTGAGGAACATAATATAACTGGAGCATAGAAGATGCGGTGTCGCAGCCGGCCAGCTTGGAGAATTGGGTGAGAAAAATATTATTTTTCTTCCCTATACCAAAACAAGCAGTTAAACTTTGCAGTGCGGGGGGTAGCCTCACTGCAATGGTTAATTTTAAAAAATGCCTGGAGTTCTTTAAATAAGTTACAGAGACCAAAGTGGCGCAGGGATATTTTGTATTTGGGACCTTGCATGTATCTGAAAGTGTTATTGGAGAACACTTAATTGGCGACTGGATAAGTTCGTATTGTCCAACATGTTATGTAATCTTCTGTGTCTGTGGACAACCATGCAAAATCTCTGAAAATGTATTTTGCATTTTCAAAGACCTGGGGTACTGGTACCTTCATAAATGTCTGTGATATTGGTAGACATATACTTTGTCATGGTGCATAGCCTTGCTAAGAAATGCCAATCTGCACTAAGACATTTATAAAGCAGTATTAGAATTCAGCTGCTGATATTGTCTCGCAGGCATATCTTCATTTGTAGTAAATACTGTTTAATGACTTGAGTGTAAGCAAACCATTCAAATCAAGTTTGCACTAGAGAATGAGTTCATGCGAGTACGTTTGCTGGCATTGTTGCTTCATTGATCTAAATGAATGAATCCAGGTCATCCAGCCGTGAGTGGCTTCATTGTTATTCCAGTTCACAGAGCTGTCCATCTGTAGCTAGTATTGTGTGCTCTAGTTTACACATCAATGGACAGCTGACAGGCAAGGTGCCTAGAAGTAAATCTACTGCATTCTACACACATAGAGAAATATTGCTGGATGATTGCACTGACACAGGTCACCCACTCTCTATATTAAGTAGATCATTTCCAAAACGAAACGTCTGGAGAATAGAGCACAAAATGTGTGAATTGCTGCATATTTCATGAAAACTTTATTAAAGCTTAGCTTGTCTGAGATTCCTGTCTGTATGGCTTGGAGAACTTATTAACAATCAACTTCTCTACTTTGCACCCTTTTGGTCTTTTTAGATATACGCTAGCAACATTGCATGTAGAGCCTATGAGTACACCGGCACCACACCCCTAGTATCCAATGTAAAATATACAACAATTTTGGGTGGGGGCTTTAAAGGTCCCTTTTAAAGCCCCCAGACAAAATTGTTGTATATTTTACTTTTAAATATAGAGTTGAAAGCATATGGTTATATGTGTTTGATATATCTGGATTCAAACTGCTCCGAGTGCATGCAGCACATGTGTAGGTGTGAATGGGCCCATATAGTTTACCTTTCCCTTCACACTAAACTGAATCACATGCATTTGAACCAGCTGCATAGGAAATAATGAAGGGTATTTATCAAAACTGGAGCAGCTGTGCACAGCAACCAATTAGCTTATCTCTCTCATTTTTAAATCTTAACTGAACAAACTGAAAAGAGAAGCTGATTGGTTGCCATGCACGTCTGCTCCAGTTTTGATAAATTCCCCCCCAGTGTGTTCTCTATTGGAAGTGCATCTCAATGCAGAAAAAAATGCAGCTGCATGGAAACAGAAGAGTGTGAATAAGCCCTAAGTGCAAAAAAAAAATGTAGATCCTGGCAAAAATCTTATAAATGAATAAATGATTGTATATTCTGCCAGTACTGTGCTGTTATCGGTTACATTGTTCACAGATTTCTCTGGTCTACAGACCCCTCTCTATGTTATGGAGTAAAGGAGAGAGGGAGACATTGTGTAGTTCTAATACTTCCTGTCCTAGGATGATAAATGCTGCTACTCCATAGATACAGCACATTGAGTGAGTGTTGTCACTGTAGGGCAGGAAGTATGTAATTGGCAGGATCATCAGGTAAAAATAAAGGGGAAAAGGCCTGGAAAAAAAACTCCATTCATTCCAAAATCAAATGTTAAAATCGATTGCAATTTTGAACGACAATTATCAAGTCTCTGATGGCATTATGGAATGTTCTCCATATTTTTTGTATGAAAGTTCATACAAAAATCTACCAGTGTATGGCCAGCTTTAGACCATTTTTTTTCAAAACAGTGAAAGGAAATGGGCTAAGCCTGTTTTACTCCTTTTGATCTGAAAACTGATTGTACATAAATTTGTTCTGGGAAGAAAAGCATGTGTTTATTAAACGCTTTCTGCATTGTTTATATAAAACAATAATCTTAATAAAGATGTATTTTCTTTTTAAAATACAGTAAGAATGACCTTAACTTTCAGTGCTCTGGAGTTTATTCTTGTATTTTATGGTGCTCCTAGATGAAGATGGTTTTGGTTAGATAAACTGAAAAATAGACAATAGAATAATTGTTGTTCTGCCATTTGTTTTAAATAGTACTTGTTTACTGGACAGATACTTAACCTAGTTTACAGATATTTGATTCATAATGCTCAAATATTTAATAGTTTATAATATGTCATGTAAATTATTACTGATAAGTATAAATGGTTAACATCGTAAAATGTTTGTTTTTCTTATAGACTTCTTTGCTCTGCAAAGCTGCGATTCATGCGGGAGTTATTGCAGATGAACTTGGGGGTCAAATTCATGTCACACATCAGAAAGGTGCAAGTCGATACCGAGGGGTTCTGGCAAATGGAATCTTTTCAAAGGCGTAAGTAATTGCTGTGCTGAATTTCTGATGAGCTCCTTATTTTAAAGCGATTAAAGAGTGCAGGAATAGCTGCCTTTCAGTTATTAGATCATTGACTTTTAAACTGAAAAAAATAATTTAGGTAATTGTTCTTTCTTTTTTTTTTAACAATAAACACACTATTCACAATGCAGACAAGGACACTATGTGCCCTGCAGGTATATTCCAAGGGTGTTTCTGGTCTCCTGCCTTATGCATAGGTGACTTGCAGTTTTCTCCTTTTTTATGTTTAAAGCCCAACACCAGTCAAAAGTTTAAAGAGACCCTGTCACCAGCTTAAACAAATACAGGTAAAAGCATGGAGAAAAGCATTTTAAAAGCTTACTTTCAGCATTTTTATTCTTTTTAAAAGCATTTTTTTTCACTTGAAATGCGCTTCTGAAATGTTAACTACTCCAGGAGAGTCGTTTACCTAGCACAGCCCCCTCTCTCTTTGTACATCATGGCCCTCTCCTCTTCTGGAAGTGTCTAATTACTGTCCAATTACTGTCTATGCTGGCCCAGCATCTCAGCCTTACCCATCACCACCCTATATAATTTTTATGTAGCAACTAGGGGAGCAGTGTAGCACACTACTTCAGAGTATCACTTGACTGACAGTTCTGGGTCTGCTCAGGCTGCTGACATCACATCCAAGACGGTGGCACCCAGCACCCGTCTCAGGTCTTTTAGATGACTGCACAAGGGCAGGCTTTTATAGATAAATAATTAAAATACGTTAATTGAACATATTTTATGGGAAGATTGTTGCTGAAATGAATGATCTGATGACAGGGCCTCTTTAAGTGTTAGTAGAGTGAATAAGGTTTAGAACATCTATCTTTTTTTCTGTCTATGGCTCCATTGGGTACATTTCCTCTCAATTTATGTCTCATTGATTCCAGGACCAAAAATTAAAGAAATTGGGTTACTGGGACAGGATGTTAGGCAGCCATAAAAACTTAACAAATGTTCTAACCTTTAGCCTCAGTACTAAACAAAGGGTCTTTTTCATGCATCTGATTTAAAAGCCCCTTAATCTTCATGTGATCCTGTCTCCCCAACAAGGGCACAGACAGCAATATAACTGACAGAAGATCTAATTCTAGCAATAAACATTACGATTTCCAAGAGCTGAATGAGAGAAATCAACAGATCCCCCATCCATGCTATACAGTGTGAATAGACGAATATCCCCTGCTGGTTATTTTATTCTGACAGCTGGCAACCACGGCTGTCAGAATACCCGAACAGTAACTCTATCTGATTAGCTGCAGTCTCTGTTTAGCTGAAAACTTTTTGCCCAGTTCCTTTTTGATTATTTTTAGATTTCAGTTTATCACCCAGGTGGTCCTGAGAGGTCCACCCATAGATCAAACTTCAGTAGAAATCATCATCATCATCATCATCATCATCATCATCTGAAATTTGCTCCGTGTGCGGCTTCTTCCATGGAACTGGAGTTGCTTTCAGTTATACTTCTAGCTGGCCACAGTCTGACACCGTGTCTAACATCTAATGTCAAAACCTTTTCAGTGTTAAAGCTGTGAGCAGTGATTGTGTAGTGATATTTGACAACTTGTTTCACTTGCGTTTAAAGTTCATTCCAAGAAATGCTGAAGCAGGTGTCACTTCAGATGAAACATCAAAGTATATACAGCATTATAATAACCATGCAGCGAGAGTGTGTAATACAGTCTACTGACAACATTTGACAGGTTCTTTTAAAGAATGACAGTGTCACATTATCACTGATGAGCAGTAGAAGTTGTGGCGGATAAACCCGTGTACATTTCCCTGTATTAGCAGTTTTCAGTTCTGCTTACATTCATCATTTAGTCTCTTACTGGCTTAAACTTTCACATTCAGTAACTTGTTCTCTAATGATCTCCCTGACATGTTAATGTGTAGCCAGGCTGGAAGTACAAGTTGTAATGCAATGTGACGCCATCAGTGGCTTTCTTGCTTACTGTATGGACCTGACCTTGCCATTCCACTCCGATCATTCCGCTGGCTTGGAAGTAATTTGCAGTCCTTTTCTACCATGTGGGCACACAATAGTTTCCTCTTTCACAGACACATAATGGGTATTGTCAGGGGTTAAATGCTAAGGGACCTTCCAATGCTAGTTCAGATGATGGTGGCTATGTGTCTGTGGAAGTCTTTGTTCTAGCACCTTCACTTTGCTGGGGATTTTTAGTAAAGGGAAACTATTGTGTATTCTCACTGGATATATATTTTATTGTTGCCGAGTTTACCCTGAAGTGATTTTGATCTGATTTTCACATGTTACAGGCTTGTTCTTCCACATTATTGTTATTTTATTAAATGAAACCTTGCAGTAAAGACCTTGCAAGGTCTGTTTATTTAGATAGGCACTTGCATTAGTAATTGAGATGTGGAATCGTTCGTTCCCCATCTCAAAACGCTGAACAAAAAGTGAATATATATATATATATATAATATACACCCCCTGCTTTTGCCTGCCCTGTAGCATCATCTCACAAGATTTGAGATGCTTGGCATTCCATGGGATATTGCTCAAAGGATGCTGGAGTACAGAAGCCAATGGAAAAGTATTTTAAATTTAACATACCTCCACACCAAAAACCGCTTAGGATTGGTGAGGGGCCCCCCTTACTAATTTAGTGGACCTTGATATTTGTAGATAAGCCAATAGAGGGAGAAGCCATTCAATTTCCATCACTGTTTTAGCCGGCAAGACTTGTATTGGGAGAAATATCAGAAAAGCACAACTTTTTGTGTAGCGTTATAAATCGGGAAGCGGAGCTTGCATATGTAATGAGCAAAAATGCATATAGGATAACACATTTTACATGAGGAAAAAAAAGTATTTTATAAACACGTTGATGTATATCTAAAAAATACATCTTTTTATACACCATACATTCCAGTGTAAAGTATCAATATATTGAATTATGAACCCGTTATTGATGTTTAACAGTACTGGACCTTGTATAAATGTAAGTTACCTGTCCTGCCAGCAGCATCCAGTTGGAATTTAACTGTTTTGTTTTTTAGTCAGCACTATATATCCATGTGATTGGAATAAATAGTTTTTTTGGTAACTTGGCCATTTCTTCAGACTAGTTTTTTTAAAGTATTTGTATGCATCATACCTGAAGATGTAACAGCTTCTTTATCAAACTTGAAGTTTATCTCTAGGCATTTGCTGTTTGTGTACCATTGGGAAATTAGTCCTTTACTTCCTGTCCCGGAGATGCAACGAAGTTAGGGGAAAACTCCCAAAGTTAAAAAGTGAGGGGATCTCGCCTCTTAGTTGTCTACGGAACAGATTTTCCCTTACCTATTGTTTTCAGTGACACTGGTCACTAGTAAAAGTAGGGGGGCGAATCTCCCCAATAGGGAAACGGACAGCAATAAAAATGTGACAATGTATCTAATTCTTCCTCACTCTAACCAAAACTTTTTTTTTTTTTTTTTTTATAAATTGATTTGCTTAGAGGGGCACTTTGATTATGAAGAAACCTTGTTGTTAGGCTGTCTTATTAAGATTCATATGAAGTACAATACTTGGACAGGGTCTTTAGCATAATGAACCGTAAACACTGATGGCCAAGTCAATGATGTCACATTCAGTCCTCAAGCCAAATGTTATGCAAGCCTCGGATGACTGCATATACTTATGCATTCATCTGTAAGTGATAGTTTAGCTATAAGAGTGACATGAGAAATGTTCCTAATAAAAAGGAGCATTTAATGCAACTCTGATCTAAAAAGTTCAAACACATGTATTCCAAACCATATCACCTGACAATTTCAGCACGACCCCCCGCCCCCCACACCCCAATACACACACACACACACACACACACACACACACACACACACTGGTCTGAGATCCAGTGGAATAAAAACACATTTGAGTGATTTACAGTGGAAGTAAACCACAGTATGTTGGTGGGTTTTTGCCACCAACACATTACTTGCACATTACTTGCACACTTGGCATACAAGTGTGCCCTGTACAGTGCTGTGCAATACATTTTTGTCCCCTGCTGCCACTGTCTCTGCCACCATCACTTCTGGGTTCCCTGGCATCATTTTCAGGCATTGAGTGGCCACTGATGAAACTCCTGTGCATGTGCATTGGAGATGCATCCTCCCCTGCACCAGGATCATCTTTAGAGATGCCATGAATGAGCTACGAGTGTACATTGCGAATGTGCCACACAGCATACACGGAGATTTAAAAAATTGCTGCTGAAGGGAGGAAGACTTTTTTTGGGCAGATGAGATTTTGCATGTCTCTGCTTCCAAAACTCCGACCTCCAAACAATTTTTAATTTTTTCTGACTTCTGCTTTCATTATTCCTGATGAAACAATCGGAAACCTTCATACATGGGTTTATTTCAGTAAAATTACTCTGGACATGAAGACTGCCTCCACCATATGACATATGGTCCCCACTACTGTGAGCACATTTAAATTGCCAAGCACTTTAAATGCAGCCCCAGAAAACTCTGCAAACATGACAATGATCGGTGACAATGAGAGGACACTATGCAAACAGACGTGGGGCAAAGGCCTTTGGAAAGTAAAGAGGAGTCATGTTCAATAATCATCTGTCATCTCTAGTGGAGACACTGATAGGAGCAATGCTTTGTAACTCTCCCAGATAATGAGATTAACCGCCTTGTGAAAGAATGCTTTGTCTAGTTTCTACTAATCTCTGCTCCCCTTTTTGTTTTATGTTGCAGTGGCTCACTTTCAGACCGCCGGTTTGTGTTTAACAGCCTTGGTAAGAATAATACACTGGAAATGCCTGCATGTGTGTTTTGTTTTTTTCTATGTGATTGAACAAGGTCAGATCTCTGCACAAGTGACAAAGTAAAAAACAAATATTATTCAATAGAGTGCTTCTTTTGATCCAATATAATGTGTCAATACAGTACTAATATATCTTACAGCCATTCTGTGGTGCTTCTAAGGGATTTTCAAACAAGCTAGAGACAGACTGTTGTGGCTTTTTTTTAGCACCTGTAGACATAATCATAAGTGATTATTCTTAAACTGCATCCAACTCCAAGAAAAAAAATTCAATATATTGTAGTTGATCAATCCTAACTGTGGTGGCTGCATTAGTTTTCTTTTGTAGGCTTTTTTTCCCTTTTTTATTTTCGCCTGGTTGATCTGGCCAGTAACACACTTCCTGTCTGGGTGGCTCCACTCTATTGGGGAGCAATGGAGCCACCATTGGAGAGCAGCATTGTCACCCTGTGGAGATGTTAGTATTAGATACACCAGCAGATTTAGATGGCCTTGACTGACTATTTTAAATCTCAACTCCAGATAACACTTTTTAAGCAGTTTATAGAAAGTTTTTTTTTCCCCCCCCTTTTTGGAATAAAGATTTGACATAAAATAAAAGCTGACCATTGTAAACATCCCATCAGTGTTAAATGGTTTGTCTCAACCTTCTGACACTTTTGCTGAACAGTTTGGTCTGTTAAGAAAGATTTAAAAAAAAACTTGCTGGCCAGATCACCAGAAGAAAATAAAAGGGGGAAAAAGAATCCTGAAAAAATTACTACAGCTACCACATCTGAGAATTGGTAAGCTGTAATATTGTACAGTTTTGCTTTTGGGTTTAGTTATACTTTAAGTGCAACTAATCATAATTTACTTTGATGACGTCAAACCGGTATATGAATAATTCTGTTTGGGTGCTACAGGTTAACCGTAGACAATATTAAGGCTTCTAATCTGCCAAGGAGACAATCCGATGTCTGTTAGCTCCCTGCAGACACCACTAGTATAGATACCTTGAGGAAATGGTTATGTGGATCTGTGAAAGCATTCCAGCTAGCAGTCACCTGGGGTTAGAATGGATCTGCAGCTGTTCAGTAAATATCTAGCTTGTTGAGGCAATGAGCGAAGGTTGTACAAATTCCACATGTTGAGTCTGCCTGCAGGGTAACCCCTGCCAATAGCGTGTAAATACACACTGTTACTGAGAGACAGAAGTAGAAACCATTACTTCTATGGCTGATTAGCTTGTTTCCAGTGAACATGATGGAAGATCCTTCTAAGACCAAATGAATGGGAATTTTGGAAAACACGAAAACTCTCTGCATTGTGTCTTGATGATTTATAATGATATAAGTGCTCATTTGTCAGGTGTCTGCTTTTTATGACTTAGTTCTCACGGTGTACAGTGCTACATCAATGCCATTTCCAATGTGTGTCTTGGCCAAGCTAACCACTGTCATTTCTGAATGTCCCCAAAACAGAATTATCACAAACACTTTTGGGTATAATGTCCCTTTTAACATTTTTATTTTTTACAATTAGATGTAAAACGTATATCCACGGTGTTAAGAGTTATGAAATGTGACAGTAGAACAGCTTATTCTTTCCTTTGGCTAGTTTTTGGGAAGTATTGAGAGAACAGGCCATGTTTTCACTTAAATCTTTACCTATTGTTTGCTATGATGCATTACCAAATCTCATTGTTTTTAATTTTACCTTAATTTTTTTTTAGATTGCAGCACTTCATTGACTGCAGGGCACAGTCAAGAGAAATTTTCAGCTACCTCATCCTGGGAATTCAGAAGTGAGAATGGGGAGACGGTGGTCTGGTCCCCTGGGAAGGCCCAACTCAATACACAGGGGTTGTCCTGGGCTTCCAATCATCAGTCTGACCGTGAATGGCTAGAAATTGATCTAGGAGACAGAAGGAAAATAACTGGTAAGTCTATCTTGAGTCTTTTATATTTGATGGCTACGACTAAGGTCCAGTTTGGGGGCTGAAACATGTAAGCATTTGTTTGCTGCTTTTATGCCTTCTTACAAATAAAGTATTGAGTGGATGGATCCCCTTACGACTGCTGTTTTTAACCTATTACCCAAGTCTATTTGTTTGTCTAGTGTAGCAAAGAATTCTAACTTAAACTGCTGATAAAATATGGACAAATACAAATATGAAAGTTGACATTTCGAGGCTGTACATGGAATCCTTTAAGATTGACTTTCATTTGCTGTGTGAACCTAAAACTATAATTAATGTATTATTTTTGTGGCTATTTTCTGGGTCTCCTAATTTCGCAACCACCAAAAACCTAATACATATCTATATAATCGGGTATATGCATGGTTCATTTAGGAGGCACCAATCATTTTTTGGGTCACAGAGATGCAAGTATGGTGAAGGCCTTAACAAAATGTTGTTTTTATACATAGAACTATGTGGCTGTGTCACACTTTTGTTTCGAATTGACCACATAATGGAAACTCGGACCTATCTTTCCCCCAAAAAACTTAAGCCTTGTATTTGGTTTGTTCCAGGTATTGTTACTACAGGCTCCACATTGCCAAACTTTAACTTTTATGTGAAATCTTTTATTATTAACTTTACAAGAGATGGATTGAAGTGGAGGACTTACAAGGGAGCAATGAACAATGAAGAAAAGGTGATTTTATTTTTTTCTTTCTCCATATTCATTTTTTGTTTACTTTGCTTTTTGTTTGATAATGTTGCCTGTGTACATTGTTACTATAAAATTGTTATAAGACATAGCACTGTTTAGTATCAGTAATAGCTTATTTGTGTGTATGGTCATTTTTGCATCTGTGGGCCCCCATCAAATCACTGGACATTGATCTTCAGCACCATATATTGTCCTTCCAAACTGACAATATACAGTATGTGTCTTTTCAGACAACCAGGCCACCTGTGGGATCACCTTAAATTAGAACTGAAGCCAAATTTCTTTTCGTTTTGGAGAGAGCGAATGAGGTTATAACCCTTCAACCTTTTTGCCATCTGTGTCCCATTGGGGAGTTTTCCCTTCACTACCTGTGTGATAGCCACAATGGAAAGTTAGAGGAAATCCCTACAAAATGTGAGGAGATCCATGGTGGTCAGCAGGCTTACCAGAACTAGCGTCTCCATTGAAAGACTTCCAATCTATTCCTGTTCTGGTGATTTTCTCCCACTTTTTAGTGATTACAGTCATCAGGACTAATAGAGAGGATGAATCTCCCTAACTGGAACACAGATGGCAATAAAAAAACTGACGTGTTCTTATTCCTCTCCACTCTATCCAAAACTGCAAAAAAAAAAAATTGCCTTCAGTTGCAAAAAATATGCCTTTGCAGGCGAATCCCAACTTTACATTGGTTTCCCGAATTGGTTCATGTTTTCAAGCCTATATTGGTCTGACATATGAAAGTATAGAGCACAAGCACAAAGCTGTCAGTAGCAACCCCTCGGATGCTGCTGTCTTGTTTCTGGTACATACAATTCAAAAATCTGAGAAATTGCTAAAGACATAACGCACAGCTATCACTTTATCTAGTAAGATGTCTCATGTGACTCTCTAATCTCATAATGTATCCTTTGTAATATCTTTGCATTGTAATAATTTGTGTGACTCTCTGTAGTGAAATAATGTGTATGTATTGTGTTGTTCATTAATATAAAGGTATTGGAGGGGAACTCAGACTATGAAGATCAGACTCGTAACAACTTGATTCCTCCTGTTGTGGCACGAGCTCTCCGTATAATACCACGTTCTTGGAACCAAAGGATTGCTATGAAAGTGGAACTTATAGGATGCGCTCTTTCACAGTGTATGTACAAGAACCATCACTTCTATCATACTGTATTGTTCTGTCTGTAATGCTTCACAGAAAGCAGCTGCATCCAATTAAACAAGAGTATTTTATACTACGTGTAGGTGGTAAATCTGCATGTTTTGTAGAGCAGAATTGCCAGCAATACAATACTAAAAAAAAAAAATCATTTTTTTAAATCAATATAATGTATTAGTCTCCTGGTGTCTACCTTGTAGGTTTATCACTGAGAATCTTAATCTATATATGCTACTAACTCTTCAAAGCCCAACTGAATTTTCAGTTTAGATATGCTAAATAAATATCATGTGTGTTAAAACAAAAAGTGTCCAAAGCCTTACAGTTAGTTTTCTATAAAAAAAAAAAAAAAAGCAGCCACAACCTGAGTAGAAAAGCCTGTTCCAGCCAGTTGCCAGCATGCATTAGAGGAGGACCCTTACTCTCTGTATGGAAGCAGTGGTCACTTTGCTGTAGTCCAACGTGCCCTCTACAGAGTCGGATTCGAGAAACATGAATACTCCTTGTTGATTCGGGAGCTCAAGTTCTGATTACGCAGGAGGCATGTCAGATGCCTGCAGAGATATCACTGCTTCCACATGGGCGCTGCTCTGTGTCCCAGCGGGGAGGAGAGAAACTGTGACAGGTGGCCAAGCGCTGCGGGAGGATAGTGCTATGAGCTGCCGGCGTCTCTCCTCCCACACTGCTCAGCCTCCTATCACAGTCCGGCAGAGCAGTGTGTGGGCGTAGACAGCCCACGCTGTCACAGGAGTCTGAGCTCTCCTCCCTACACCGCTCGCTCTGCCTCCTGTGACAGCTTGGAGAGCGGTACAAACACTAAGGCTGGGTTCACACCTGGGCGTTTTTCAGCGCTGATCGAAGCACTGAAAAACGCTCAGCAAGTGAAATCATATCATTTCCTATGGGCAGGCGCTGAAAAACGCCCTACGCCCAAACAAGTACAGGAGCTTCTTTGGGGCATATTTCAGCGCTTATCCTTTGGTATTCACGAGTGTGGCTTGGGGTTAACAAAGTGGTAACCCCCGAGCCACACTCGGGAATACAGCATAGATCTTACCTTGTCCGCGATCCCCGCTGTGTCCTCTGGCCGATGCCGTCTTCCGGGTTCAGTCCCTTGCAAGGGTCCGTGTCACAGGGGGGCGGAACCGGCGGCAAGTTTGAAAGTAAAAAAAAAAAAGAGAAAATAAGGGGGGGAAAAATTAAGAATCATACCGCCAGGGAGGTATAAAAACGAGCGTCGAACGCGCGTTTCACTGAATGAAAAAATGAGCTGAAAAACGAGCTGAAAAAACGTGTCTATAGTACGCCCAGGTGTGAACCCAGCCTCAGCGATTAGTGATCGCTGTGTGTTTGTACATAATTGAGGACATAGCATGTTGACTACTGTATATACTCAATTATGAATGAATGGGAGTGATCTACATCACCTCCTGTTCATTCATGATTGTGGTTATAGCAAAAACACAATGTTCTCATGTTATCAATGAACAGGAACACTCATAGAGGATTCCTGTTCATTTATAACAGGGGCTGTTTAGACCCCCAATATTTCCCCGAAGCCCCTCAAAGTAAAGTAAAAAATTAAAAATATTTATTACAAAATAAATTAAAATTAAATATTTGAAAAAATTAAAATAAAAAACATTTTCGGACTGACATTTTTTTTTTATTTCGGTTTTGAAATTTCCATTTCGGTGCACCTCTAATTTTAACCACAACCCGTAGGAGCAACAATGCAGTAATTCTCTGACAACTCATTTATGTTCTTTCCCCACAGCTCACAACTCATCCACCCACCCCATGTGGAAGAAGCCAAATGAAAAGAGGACCAAAATCCCAGTAAAAGAGGAAGAGAACATCACTGAGCCAGTTCCATCAGAAGAAAATGACTTTGGTATGGATCTCTTTCTGAAAAAGAAAGTTTACATATAAAACATGACATGTTAAAAATCAAGCTTTAGTGAACTTCATAATTTAACCAGCGAGATTGAATTCTTTCTTTGTTCTCCATTTAGGGTGGAAACTTATTGTTGTCCTTATCCCAGTGGTGCTAGTTCTGTGTATAATCGTGACTGGGATCGGTATATGCATAACCCGGAGGTAGGTTCTCCAATTCTGATAACATGCTGGTTGGGATGGGTGATGCCATATCTGAAACTGTCTGACCCCGTTATGTTAAGTATTTTACTACTAGGTAGTAGACAATATTGCATCTGTTTCTGCAGCATGATCTTGTATACTTGGGTGTTCTCGTCACTGATTCTAATACAGTTGATCATGGAACATTTGTTGTTGCATTTTGTCACTTCTGTTCGTAGGCATCTATCTCTCTTTATTGTTGGCAGTAGTTTTTGTCATGTTTTTAAATGGTTTCGGTATTTTAAGGATGCCACCATCTCTTCATGATTCAAACTTTGTTGAGTCTTCCTGAATAGGAATAGTTTCTGAACAAAGAACCAATAAAATATTACAATCACAGGAGTAGTCCTTGAATCACAATAATCCTCTTTAAAGCGAACCTTGCATTACAGCAGGTGATTTTTTACAGGGAAAGGAGGCCTGAACAATATAAGCAAGACCTAGCATTTAATGCAAGGTCGGATTTTAACTCGGTTTGATAGTATTCCTTGCAGACACATTTAGCAACTGTCACATTCAGAGATTTGTATAAAACTATGCTGTAAACAGCCATGAAGGTTAAATGCTAAATAATGGTATGCTTGAACATCATGACTGTCAATAATTGCAAAAATATTTTTTTAAGGAAGGATTTGGCCCGGCAGACTTGGTACTTTAGTTTCTGGCAAAGTATTTTTGTATCCAGAACATGTGTAAATCTTGGAACCAAACTATATGTCTCTATGTCACAAAGTATCCCTAATACTAAAGCCCCCAACATGAAACGCCTGACACTTAAAGCAGTCAATGAAAGAGAAATCACCAGCACTCAGCAAATGAAGTTCAAAAAGTAACGTCCATTTATTTGGACCAAACGTCGCACATATCGCATAATCCAATGTTTTGGGACCGCGCAGGGTCCCTTTATCAGGGCACATCTCTTTATACAGTTATATACAGCACATCTCTGCCCTGATGAAGGGACCCTGCGCGGTCCCGAAACATTGGATTATGCGATATGTGTGATGTTTGGACCAAATAAATGGAGGTTAATTTTTGAACTTCATTTGCTGAGTGCTGGTGATTTCTCTTTCATTGACTGCTGTGCACGGCGCCATCCGTGATTGTCACTCAGAGCACCACTATAGCTACTTGGACCGGGAATGCTGCAGGGAGTGCCGGGGGACTTACTGTTTTCTGGAATTGACCCTTAAAGCAGAACACCTTCCTATTCCTTACAGCCAAGCAAGGTACCATCTTAGCCCCTATTTGGATTGCACTTGTCATGTTGCTGCACATGTGGTCAGCTATGACTCTAGCCATTTAACGGCTTGAAAGTTGGGTTGAGAGCTGAAATAAGCACACTGGCAGCCTTAACTGTTGGCATGCCTTAATCGTAACTGTTTTGGGAGTCATTAAATTAGTGGGTCAGGGTCTGCTTTACATGACCCCACCACTCATCCCTCATCCCTTATCTCAACTACCCTCGCCCTCTTATCTCAACTATTCTCTACTTAAGTGAGCCCTTTTACCACCCCACCACCACCTTAAACCTAACTTGTTTAAAAAAGTCCCCTAATTCCTATTACTCTCCTTACCTAACATAACCCTAAGCTATGCACTAACACGGGGTTCTGTATATTCGCCTCATCCTGCTACAGAAAAAAACAGTGCCAAATCTTTACCTCTCTGCCAATAGATGCAACTGCCAGTAAGTTGTCAGCGCCGTTAACTACTGATTCATTGCAATTTTTAGCTACACCTTCTTGGAAAAGGATTTTTAATGCTGAAGCTTTTTGTGTCTTACAGAAATAGATTGAAAACAGACACTTACAAAAAAGAGGAACAAAATGGCGGTAAGTTAACAGCCTTTGTTTTCCTATGGTTTTATTACACCGTATATGTGCTTAATGAATGTCTTCTGGTGCAGGGTGCTGGAAACAACTCGAACAGCCTTTCATGAGACAGCAGTCAACAGAGTTTACTATCAGCTACGCCAGTGACAAAGATGTGATGCAGAAGTTTGACTTTGTCAAGTGTGACACAGAAGGTAGGAAGCAAACATCAAATGCATTGATTAGGCTCTTGTTCATATCACTAGAGACGTTTAACATATACAATATGCCTGGGCATGAAGTACACACCCTACATACTTATGCATATGCAGTTTCTGCTCAATGGCTCATTCTGCCTCTACTTGCGTTACATAGCAAGTACAGGGAAAGTCAGGAAAGGGGCTCAGTTACTGATCATCCACAGCACTTCACTCTATTCTCCCTTGTCATCTATTTTGTGTCTAACCCTTCTTAAATTCATGTGTTGTGTAAAAGTATGACCCACCATAAACACTTTATGACGCATCATGTTAAGAAGGAGTTTTGGATTGTTGGGCTACGTTTTATTTCAAAAAGGCGTGTTCTGGAAGCTTGTTGGATTTACATACTAGCTGAGCACAGTGATACATTTACAATAGGGTAGTGGTTGTGTTTTTGGTGTGAAATAGTTTGTATCCAAAGATGAGCAATGTCTTTAATGTTATATGTCATAGAAGTAGCATATGTGATATCTTACACATGAGACAGGTTAGAGGGTAATCCTGGGATGTCATTAAGACAAGCCAACTGTGTGAATTCATGGATTTTCTGCTTAATAATTTCCTTCCTAAACATATGAGCTAATCAGTATGTTCTATTTCCTTCTTAGCCGTCTTAAAAGCTTTATTTGTGATGGCTGCGTTAGATAATTGTAGCTTTATTCATTGAAAAGTGCCAGGAGCAAAAGTGCAGTAACTCATAAATACCTTTTAGAATTCACTAAGCTAAAATCATTACCAGTATATCTTGAATCTCATAGGTTGCTGTATGTTGCATTCAAATGATATCTACACCCAAAAACTAAAATGTAATATTTGGCAGCTTGTATGGTGACTGCAATAGTTTGGTTTCCCTTTATTTCTATCTGGTGATCCTGACAGAAACACACTTCCTGTCTGGGGTGACAACGCTCACTATCTTGTATCAATAGAGGAGCAGCATTGTCACCCTAGGCTGCTCTCCTGATTTGCACTACAAACACCTCACCCCTTCCTCATCTCCGTTGCATAGAGGGGATGAAGTGTTCTGTAGTTCACAGAAGATGGCTAGGAAGGCTGATAACATTATTTGATATTTAGTTTAGTGCACATAAAGTTAAAGGAGAACTATGAGGCGAGTGCTTTTCACTCACCTCATAGTTCTAGCCGACCTGTGACAATGAGACTGTCGCAGGTCGGCTCAGTAGATCGGGAGGTGAGCGAACACATACCGGGTTCCCTCACCTCTCGATCCTGTCACGGCTCTCTGCCATGACAGGGGGAGGGCTGGATTCCCCTCTCCCCGCTCCGATCTGCCAGCGCTGACTGGCGGAACGGACGGGGAGGGGGCGGGTACAGCTGGCTCTGCCTCTAGATAGGCAGAGCCCGCTGTCACTCACGCAGCTGGGCGGATCCCTTCATCTACGTCGGGATCCGCTCCGGCTGCGGCGTCTCAGTATACCACGAGCTGTAGCTCGCGGTATACTGAGCTTAGGGTAACGGGAGGACGCTAGTTTGTGTGCTCCCGTTACCCTAAGGAGAACTATGGGGAAAAACACTGACCCCATAGTTCTCCTTTTAAAAGGACATTGGATTTCTGGAAAGAGCAACAGGATTTCTTCTGTACTTCTGTAAAATTCTAATGCAGCCACCGCACCTAAGCACTGGCAAGTTGCAATATATGTGTTGCATATTCTCTCATTCTCTCAGTACAGGTTTTCTATAAATGTACAGTTTCTGGGTCTGTCTTCCTAATTCTTCAGTAGTTGCTGACATCTCCATATTTCCATACTCGGGGTTCCTTTTGTAGTTAAAGAAACATGTATTTCCTTTGGTATAGTGCCACCTAGTGGCAGTAAGCCAGAAAAATAGGGACTGGTTGTACAAAACAGTATATCCAGGGAACACAACTATAAATATGTATAATTGGTCAAATCCTACCTGACGTTAAAGAATACTAGGATTTTTACTATCCCCTGTTATGAAAAGTTTGCTTACAATCAAAATGAATGCTGGCTTTTGACTTCAGGTCATGAGAACTTTGCAGGAGTGCATGTACAGTATATTGTATGCATTTATTTGTGTGGGCATTTTTTTTCTGTACATCAGAATATTTTTCTGCAGGGGTACAGCAGACTTCATCTTACAGGTGTTCAGATTGTGATATCAAATCAAAAAAAATCCAATTGGTTTCTCTGTTGACTGTCTTTTTTAAACAAATGGAGTGTAGAGTGGTTTACTGGGACCTAGCCAACACTGCTCTTCCTTGTCAGCTCTGTGTATATCTAAAGGCAATAGACGTTAAAGTGCATATGAAGTAAACAGGATAAATCGCCCTTTTATCAATAACATTTAAATAAAAAGGAACTTGCAAAGTAGCCGTTCAATCAAAGCATGTCAGGCAGGCAGTACAACCCTTGTCAGAAGTCAGGTCACAATAGTGGATGCAGAACTATCTCTTCATATGTACTGGCAGAAGGAGACAGAATACTATGGGACAAAACTATAGTGGACACTAAACAACAAACTAGGGTTTGAAATGCCAAAAGGTGCCCAGAATAGCAAGTATCAATAGGATACTGAGATGGCAGCTTGAGAGAATAGTACTTTATCTGCAAAATCCAGTGGGGGAGTTTATCAGAACTGGAGTAGACAGAATGTGGAGCAGTTGCCCATAGTAAGCAATCAGCTACTCTCTTCAGTTTGTTCAGTAATGCTGGCCATACACCTATAGATTTCTAAATTTTCTACAGAGTTTTTTTCTGTCAGCCTATGGTCAGATGGAAAAAGTGCAACCGATTCCTCCATCTACGCTAAACTGTGTGGATGGGGGAATCTTCCACTGGGCCAAGCTTCAGAATCTTGCTCGTCGGCACCGCTGGCTCTCAAAATACCTGAACAATCTGATTGGATGCAGCATAGTTAAGGTATTTTGATAGCCAGCGGGGCCGACTAGCAAGATACTGAAGCTTGGCCCAGTGGAAGATTCCCCCATCCACACATTTAAGTGTAGATGGAGGAATCTGTTGCACTTTTTCCATCTGACCATAGAAAATGTGCAGATTTATAGGTGCATGGCCAGCTTTAAGCTTTGAACATGGAAGAGAGAAGCCGATTGTTTACTATGGGCAGCTGCTCCAGATTTTGTCTGCTCCAATTTAGATAAATCTCCCCCAATGTGCTTTATTTGCTTCATCTTTGTTGTCAAGGAAGATCAAACACAAAATAAACCAGCAGTATGTATTCTGAATGTGCAAAGTCTGGTGGTGGAAATCTGCATAAACAATGAAAACAAAATGCATACATTTTCCATAATGTTTACCATTTTACATTTCTACATAACCCCTTTAGACTGAAGAGTAATATAACCTTACCAGACATTATTTTATTGTTATATATGTCCTTTCTTTACTTAGATTTTGAGCAGTCCCTCATGATTGGCGCTGGCACAGTGACGAGGAAAGGATCCACATTCAAGCCCATGGACACAGAGACCGGCGGCCAGGATCAAGAGAACCACTATGACTGCCCTCTAAGGACCAATGAATACGCATTACCGCTGACTTACCCGGAGCCTGAGTATGCAACCCCAATTATAGAGCGCCATGTCATGCGGGACCACACCTTCTCCCCAGAGTGTGGCTACAATGTCCCTGTGGTGTCCCTGAACCGCAATCACTCTTTCTCTGGTGTCAGCTTTTCTATCTCATCCAGTGCAGAAGACAGTGGAGGGGACTACCAAACACCCCACAGCATGCACGTAGAGGAGTGCGACTATGACCGGCCGAAAGTCCATAGTACTTGGGCTGCGTCAGACTGTGGCGATTACCAGAAGCCGCAATACTGCACATTAGCGGCAGATGGTTACTCTTCTCCGAGAGACTGCTTAAAGCCCATAAACCAGACTGCAATAACAGCTCTCTTATGACTCTCTCCAGAGGACAACAGACTTGAATAACCCCATCTATGAATGTTACTGCCCAGCTGCTGGACATCTGCGTTGTTTACATGACTTTTTTTATGGTTTATATAGTGATGTTGCTCAAGGCTGATAAGAAACGTCAAAAGTGAGTGGTGTACAGTATCAGAGGCCCCCGGTTACTCTGTGAGATTTGTGCAATGTGTACAGAAGATATTTAAGAGGACCTCAGTCACTTTTCCTCTCTTCTATTGAGACTTGATGTTATATTGACTTTTATGTAGTCGCTTTGGGACAGACCACGGCTCCAAACGTGACTTTTCTGGTGCATTTTTATTTTTCAAGATGAATATTATTAACACTGTGAATGTTTAACATGTAAACTTGCTTTAATTTATATACCCTGTAAGACAGGAATGGTTTATGGATACCCAAATTCAAGGAGGAAAGTACCTTTTTTATGGGAGGGATGAGAAGAAAAAAATTGGGTGCTCTAGTTATTTGGCCAACTGCTTCAGAGAAGTGCAAGGTGAGACTACAAACACACACAAGGCCTAGAATATTGGTATGTAGCTCAATCCACCTCTCTGGGAGCAGAGCTGACCTCTTAGGATTGTTTTAAAGGCAACACCCTCAAAGAAACTTTAAATGAATAGGGCAAATTGTCTTTAGTTTTTAGGGTTTTATATATGTTAGCACATATGTGGATCAGCGGAAAGAACATGTAGAGTTTTGTATGGTGAATGGACCTCGGCACAAGTTAACTTTTTTATCTGTATTTGTAAGCCCTGATAAAGTATTCCTAAGCTCCAAATGTATGCCTTCTCTCCATGTCATTTGTAATCATCAGCTAAACTGACCTTCCTCTGGAACGGATAATCACTTTTATATGTTTTTCTATTACATTTGGGTTTTACCCGAATATGCAACTTGTTAACTAAACTTTGGTTTTGAATGATATTTTAGCCATTTTTATTTGCACAGAAAGTTTGAAATTCAGATTCACGTTAAAGTATATCTAAAGCCAAAACCTTTTGTTTACCCTACTCCATCTTTTATTTTGGATGGAGTAGGCTAGGGATTGACCGATTATCGGGTCTACTGATAATCTGGGCCAATATATTTTCATTATCAGTTAAATGTACCGATATTACCGATTTAATAAACACTGTGCGAATTTTACACTGTGAAATTTGCACAGTTGGGGTTGCTGTATGGCCGGCATCCCTCAATCAGCTGATCAGAAAATCTGTGTAGGAACAGAGCTGGCAGCCATTGAGCTGGCGACTCTGTTCTGGTATTCTGACAGCGGCCTGCAGTCGCTGTCAGAATACAAAAAAAAACAGGAGATAGCATGGGATGCAATAGCTAGCCTGCTATTGGCCATTTTAAATTAAAATAGCCAATAACAGACTGGCAATTGCACCCACCTGCTGTCGTTTAAAATTAAAAGATGATTTTAAAGTTCATCTGTACCCACATCATCCAGTGTAGATAGGCACCAGCATGTTGGTGCAGGCAGCCAAAAATCTTCCTTCATCTTGTAGAGCAGGCTGGGAGTCCTGTAATGTGTGAATATCAATATTAACTAGGCACTTGGCTCCACCCCTTTTTTTACATTTCTATGACTTAATGAACCTTTCTAGTACATTGATGGCAAATATGTAGCTCAGGGAAGGGGACGGGCCAATGTTCAACTTCAAGTTGGATATGAGTATTTAAATATTCGAGCACCCTTAGTTTAGGGACTCCCTACAAGATAATGGAAGATTAATAAAGACACCCTTCCACCCTACATTGGATGATGGGAATACTGACACATTTCAGAGATATTGTTACTCTGTATGAAGTGAATTTATTTTGCCATGTCTTGAACGCTCATTGAGCTGCTTGTGATTTCTGATTACCAAGATTACGCTTCCTACAAAAAGTGAGACCCCGTACAAATGGTGCTGCAAAAATAAAGCTGTCCACTCAAAGTGAATATGCCTCCTCCCAGGAATCCGAGTGTTGCTATCCTCCATAGAAATGAAAGAACTCCATCCCAACTTACTTTCTTTCTACGAGTGGGGAAAAAGTGGAATTTTTTCCAGGTTTATTTTCAATTGTTGTGCCTCCCTTGTGGAGAATTGCTTTTAATTCCTGTCCCAGTGACACCATAGGGCGTGAGGGTAAATCGCCCCCAGGGCACAGCCAACAGTTAAGTCTAGCAGAGGTTCATAGTTCTTCACAGTTTTCATTATTGTCTGTGTCCCCACTGGGAAGGTTTCCCTCTAACCTCTGGTCCCTGTGGTGTGTAGCAAAATAAGTCTATCAGAGGTTTCACCCCCCCCCCCTTCGGCATTCAATGCGTTCCAAAGTAATTGTTTCATAAAATAATGAGGGTTCTAGCACAACTAATATGTTTCCCTTTAACACCTGTATTTGTTCCCTTCTTGTACTTCCTCTGTCTTAGAGAAAATTAGCAAAAAGTTCTTGCCGAGGTTTCCCCCCCCCCCCCTTCTGCAATCCATGGAGTTCCAAAGTAATTGTTTCATAAAATAATGAGGGTTCTAGCACAACTAATATGTTTCCCTTTAACACCTGTATTTGTTCCCTTCTTGTACTTCCTCTGTCTTAGAGAAAATTAGCAAAAAGCTACTATGTACAGAGGACCAGAAGTGATCATTGTTACTTTCCTTTCCATTGCATAGAATTTCCCGGTTTATGGATTTCCATGAGTGCATATCATGTTTTGTAACTTGGTTAAGTGACAAGTTGGTAAAGAAACAAATTGTTTGGCTCCTGTCATAAGGAACATTTTGTGTAGTCTCCAAAAAGAATAAAACTGCAAAATGCCTAAATAGTTTATTCTTTTAAAAAGTAAATATACTAAAATAACACGAACATTTAACATGGTCCAAAGAAGCAATTTTTTATTGATTACACATGTTAAGTTTCATTTAGTGCTAACATTTTACACTATGCTTAAAGGATGTTGTTGGTAATCCAGCTCAAGGGGACGGTTTTAAGTGGCAGTTGTCCATACCTGAACAGATTAACAAATAGCTGAGATCAGTTTTTTTATAGCTAGTTCTAAGCAGGGCCGGAATTACTCTCTGCTGCCCCAAGGCCAGGTTCCTCAATGGAGAATGGCAACCAGGTGGCAGGGGCGGGCAGTGTTAGTTTTTTTTTTTTTTTATAATTTTTTTCTTATTTTTTACTTTATTATTTTTTTATTTAAACTTTTATTTTTTATTCATTTTTTTTCTTATTTGTTTATTTTTATTTTATTTAAAAAAAAAAGAAATCACTTTACTTTTATTGCTATCACACAGGAGCTAACAAGCCCCATGTGTGATATCATTTGGAGGTGAGAGGTTCTCTTTATTGACCCTGTCACCTCCAATACAGGAGTTCTAGCACAGCATTGTGAGAGCTGAGAAGGGAAGGCCGCCAGTGCAGCTTCTCCGCTCTGCTCCCCGCTCTCCATCCTGAAAATCTCCAGAGAAAGGCGGTCAGCAAGGAGAAAGGTACACGGCAGGGGGAGGATGGACCTGCAGTCTTATTACAAGTGATCTTGGTGACATCGCCAAGATCACTTGTAAACAAACGAGCGGCTTTCCTGCTGTACACTTAGCCCTGCTTGCCTGAAGCGACTCTGTTTTATTTACAGCTGTTCTAGATTTTGTCTGCTCCAGTTTTAATAAATTCCCTTCATTCTATTTACCATGTCTACTTTAGTGTTCTTTTACATCCTGCAATGCAACCTTTTAGCCTGTAATAAAGCATGGGCGTGTATGTTATTGGTTTCTGGTGTTCAGACCGTACAGCCCCCTTAGCGAACATAGAGTGGTAAATCCCTGGTATCCTATTCATAAAGTATGTCACATGTTTAGTACTTACAAGCACATGCTTACTCTTGTCCCATATGAATTTTATATACATTTCCAGTTTTTATACAGCCACCACAATTTGGTTAACGGGTTTTATCTTTTGTATCCCTTGTGTACATGGATTAATACATTTATATATTTTCCCTTTGACTGTAAAATGTTTGTGTTGCATGCATACGCTCAAAGGTAAATGGCCAATATTTCTTTTCTTTCTAGAAGGCATAATAGCATAAGATAGCTGGACAATCCCAGGTAGTCATTGCTCCTATTTATAGCTGGTGCCTAACTTGTGAGGTTTTCCCTAGTTGTCAATGGAGCAGACTCCTAAAATAAAAATCCTGCTGGCCCCTGGATTGTACAGACTGACTCCTGGATTCTGTATTCGTTTGTTTCCTGGCATGAGAAAACAAAGGATTATATGATCGCCGGACACCCCACTATTCTTCTCTGCCTGTGTTTTCATAACAGTGTCCCCTTGTTGGCATTCTTTGGATTACTGCTACCTGAATCGGAATACTGAGCATCAATTCTACTGCCTCTGCTCTTAAAAATATCTGCACCTAGAACTGCTGTGTATGTAATTGCTATTAATCTGAAGGTATTGAACCCATGATGGCCATACAATCGTTCACTGGAACATTCAATCTTGCCATCGTTAAACATTAAATCTAGTTAGAAAACCCTTCAAAATTGCATCCACACCGGCTACTTGAATGGACTCCCAGAGGCATTAAACAGGTTTCTTTTTGCCTCGCACATGCGCATTAAAATATGAACAATTTTTCCCCAAAAGAAAATCACATTTCTGGTTAGAATTTGGTTTCGCTCGGATATAAAAATGAGAGACATTTTCTATTTGCTCATCACTATGGTTGTAAATGTGTGTGGATTAGACCCCACTAATTATTTCATGATATTCAGTATATTTCACATATATCTCCAGACAAATTGTGATTATGATGAGGCTATCGGAGTTACTTCTTAAAAAGATGACTTTATTGAAAGACATAACAATAAATATATGAATCACCACCATCTATCCTCCCATTAGATAAAACCTTGTAACTTTCACAAGTACGAATCCCTGCACCCCCACATTAGGTGGTATGAGCAAACACTGATATAACTGGGTACACTGATACTCTTTCAAATCCGCTAGCTATATTGGTATTGTTACATCTGGAAGTCCACATAACACTGCTGAGTATCTTTTTCTAAAAGTAGCAACTTTTCTGCAAACAATGTATCCTGTTCACAGGCATGCATATGTCAACAAACATAACTCGACCAGATACATTCAGCTGACAGACTATTAAAGGAGAACTATGGGGTTAAGTCTTTTCCCCATAGTTCTCCTTAGGGTAACGGGAGGACACAAACTAGTGTAATCCCGTCACCCTAGGCTCAGTATGTCGCGAGCATACTGAGACGCCGCAGTGTACCGCGAGCTGCTGCTCGCGGTATACTGAGATGGCGCAGCTGAAGCGATCCCAACAATTATGTCTGGATCCACCCAGCTGCGTGACTGACAGCTGGCTATGACTATCTAGAGGCAGAGCCAGCTGTACCCGCCCCCTCCCCCGTCCGATCCACCAGTCAGCGCTGGCGGATCGGGGAGGGGGGA